TAAACCAGCAGGATTAAAAATGTAATTTTGCCTAAACAAAAATATGTCATTTAATAGTATAAATATGTATTTTTATTCATAAAATACATAATTCAAAATTCTACTTTTACAGGATCTCAAGAATCCAATCCTCTTCAATGCCATAAAAGGTGTCAACCCTTTTCCCATGTATATTTTTTTTTTTTTGGTACAATGTATATTTTATTTTTAACATATATTTCTCAGTTATTTCCTCTGAAAATTAATTTTCACTGTTCCACAGCATTCATTATCTTCTAATATATGTTTCTTCACAATTCATAACTTGAGGTTTTTCTTAATTCCAAACTATATCATGCAGCATTTTCACCTTTAAGGATGAGATTAGGAGGCACTCTCCAGAACAGATTGATCTACCAAACCCGAGCCATCCCGTGCGTTCCATTCTCCCGAAACACGACTCAGTTATTCGACTACACCACGGGATGCATGCCATTGACTAGATGGGACGAGCTCAATTCCTTCCTCGCCCGAGCAGGGTAAAAAATGCATACTCGTTTGAACGAACGAATATGTATACACACATTCATAAGTAAAAGAAAACCGTGCTGAAAATTAGTTCGATGCAGGGCTATCCCCATTTTCGGACTCAATCCTCTAACCGGAAAAATTATAGAGCGAGATAACAATGCTACGGGTCCTTGGGACCCGACCAATGCAGCATCACTCATTCGTTATACAGCCGAAAAAGGTTATAACATCCACGGATGGGAGCTTGGTAAGAAATTACTCGACTCTAACTGCAATTGACGTATTTTCTTTCCTTTTTTGTGAGTACATTTTATACCAAAATGTATAACTCTGGTATATATAGAGTATAGACTCATTTTTCTTCTTCTCTTTTCCCTTTTTAGGGAATGAATTAGGAGGACGGCCAATACTAGGGGTGGCAATCGGCGTCAATCCGTACGTGCACGACACATCTGTCCTTCGAGATGTAATACAAGAGATATACAAGGGGTCCCGTGATAAGCCGCTGGTCATTGCACCCGGAGGAATATTCGAACCCAGCTGGTTCAGTAGCTACATACCCAAGATGAATGGGATACTGGATGTGATCACCCACCACACGTACACTGTCGGCTCAGGTACTCGACAAGCAAAAATTACTTGGCTGGTTCGTACTTTTTTTTTTTAAAAAAAAAAGT